AGAGAGAGAGAGAGAGAGAGAGAGAGAGAGAGAGAGAGAGAGAGAGAGAGAGAGAGAGAGAGAGAGAGAGAGAGAGAGAGAGAGAGAGGCAGAGTCTGCTGATGTTTGTAGTTGAGGGTACCTGAGGCTAGGCACAGGGATTGATTGGTCCGGTTGGCATGGTCCCTGCCGGTATCTTCCCTCCTGCGCTTCGATGAATTAGTGAATCCTCCCGCTTTTGTGGGATATTTCATTCCGACGTTGCACGTTCCAACGTCTCTCTCTCTCTCTCTCTCTCTCTCTCTCTCTCTCTCTCTCTCTCTCTCTCTCTCTCTCTCTCTCTCGCTCGCTCTCTGTGTGTCACCCCGGTTTTTGCTCTGAATTCACCACTGTGTACAGTGTAGAAATAAGTCCTCAATGGAAAAACCATCGCCATATAACAAGCTTTCTGAATGTTCCTAAAAAAATATCCGCTACATTTTCAAGATATAAAGGCTAGTCCTCTCGTTATAAAAAACAACACACATGCGTTCGCGGTGACATCACTTGCGAAGACACCAGCAGCAGCGAACTGCAACATTTTGACGACGATAGAAGCTTTGGAATACGTGTCAGCTATGCCGGGGTGAGCGGACTACAGCGGGGGGGTGGGACGGGAAAGGGGAGGAGGGGGGCCGCCATAGCCCAGGCATTGGCAGACGTCATCACCTCGTCTGGTCTGTCGGACGCTCCTTTCATGATGTCGAATGCTATTATCGCGGGTGCGGGTGTTCTGCCGAGGGACACTCCTCGCTCGTGGATAAAAAGGCGGACCGGGGGGACATGGTGGGACTTGGACATTGTGGACGGCACCACCAACGGTCATCTCACCGTTGTCGGCACGAATACCCTTACAAGGGTATCCGCCCTGGTTTTTGCAAGTGGCAGAAAACAAGTTTGACCCGAAATTGTTGAGAAGGCCGCGTGACTTGCGGCAATGTGGTGACTATAGGTTGGCTATGAGGTCGAGAAGTAGAGAGTGCGTGGGCGCGCAGGGTTTGAGGCGCGCGGGATTTCTGTCCTTGTCGTTGATTATAAAGCCGGCACGGACGCCGACCTGTTTAACTTTGTTTTATTTTTATTTATTTGTTTTTGATTAAGTAGGAATTAAGGATATTTTTCTGGCGACCGAGGCGAGTGCGTGTGTGAGGACGACGGCATCGACAGCGACGGTACGACCTTGCGCGGTAAATGGGGCGGCGTAGGATGGCGCGCAGGGATAGCCGCGGCACGGATGGTAGGCCGGCGGCTTTCGGCGACCGTGCGTGCAGGGGCAGGCCGAAGAGTGGCCCAGGGCGATTCCTGGGCCCTGAGCACCATGCGCTACCACTTTATCTAGAAATGCGAGCCTGCCGACACCAGGCTTGGGCTTAGCCCTATAGGTTACGGCATCGGACTACTACTACGGAGGCTCAGGGATCGAGGCTGGCGCGTGTCGACGCAACAGATGCAGCGTGGAGAAGACCGAGGGGTCGAGGGCCCGACGGGGCTATCCCCCTTTGATTTTATTGGAGGGCGCGACAGCGGGCCCCGGTTCGTGGGTCTGGCCAGGTGTCAGCAGCCCCACGGTGCCCCGACGTTACTCTTATTTTATTTTAGTTTTCCTTTTGTTTTATTACTTTTGCCCCCCCCTTTCTATCACATCCCGTTTTGAGCCGCGGGGCAGCGGTGGAGTTGCGTGGGAGTGTGTTGTAATCGCGGGGTTGCCTGAAGTGCAATTACAAACTGTTTTCGTGACCGCGCTGGAGCCGCGCCCCGTTTTGCCCTGGGACGCGGCGCAGTGGGGGCGCGGCTGGCACCCAAGAGCCTAACTCAGTGGGTATACCCCTGAGCTGTTGAAATACAGACCTGTGTTCGAATCCAGATGATGGAATTTGATGAGTAAAACCAGATGCTCTGGTTTGCCTGGGCCGACCAGGCTCTAAGTAGCCATAGAGCGCGGCCCAGCTTAAGCCCTTCGCGACATCTATTAAAATTGGAACGATACAGGGAGGAATAGCATGGCCTCTGCGCAAGGACAAGACATATAAAGTGAGAGCAAGGTCCGACGGCCGGGGTCCTTACTCTTCTGCCAAGAAGCCAGTCGGACCGTGCGTTGGCTTCGAGGTGCGGGGTTGACGTCAGCTGAGATAAAGAACGCAAGCGGGGGGAGAATGAACTAAGACGGGGGACAGTGTCGGGTGCATGCGCAGGGCAAGGGGACAGCGGAGTACCGTAGGGTCGGGCGATGGGCAGCGACTAGCGCAGAAGGGCGGAGCAGTAGAGGAGGGAGTGAGGTTGGCGGGGTGGCAAAGACGAATGATGAACCCGGGCGGGAGAAGGCACCGGGTGCATGCATGAAGGAGCCAGCGGTGGAGGAAGCCAGAACGACGATGGGCGCTGAGATAGCACGGCGAGGCAGGGCGAGGGGGCGACGGGCAGGAGGAAAAAGGTGGGGACGGGGGTGAACCCGGACGGGTACGAGCGCGAGATGCACAGTGAGGGAGATGGGCGCTATGTGACCAGCAGCAGCAAGCGGCGAGGGCGCTGGCACTATAGAGCGGCAACACTGGCACTGTGGCGCGGTGAGGCAACGGGGAGCAACAGGGAGGAGTA